TTTCCTAACTTTTACTGAATGTGAATAACAAATTTACAAGTTGAATAAATATAACTTAAGTGAGAGATGCAGTGTTACAAAAAAAACGACACTGGCTATAAATGACATAAGCGTCTCTCGTCTAAAATCTCGCCCTCACACTTACACTCTGCTGCCTGCAGAAATATTCTAAACTGTGGAGCAACTAATGATCTGTTCACATGACTTAAACCTCTCTTGTCTGCTTCCTTTGCTGCCATTCTCAGAATAATTTCCTGCAAGCCTTCCTGTCAGTGCCGATGCCCAAGGCGGGTGGTGTCAAGGCCACCTCTGCAGGTGGTGGCAGTGGGAGCCTACTGGGCCTGTGGCTGAGGCTGCTGGTCAATATCTCGTTCGCGGAGGACGGCCAGCAGAGTATCCTCAGGGTGACTGGCGCCCTGGAACTGCTGGCAGACCTGGCACAGCACCGGCGCCACGCGCTGCTTACCCTTCACAACCTCTGCTTCTGTCCTGCCAACAAGCCCCACGTCATTGCCAATGGTATGGAAGGGCAGCAGGGGTTAAAATGATTGATCTGAATTTAAATTTATTGATGATGTTTAACAAATAGCTCAACATTTTGGGAAAGTGTGTGTGTATGTATGTGTGTGTGTGTGTGTGTATATATATATATATATATATATATATTATAAACCAACAGAGGAATGTAAACAAGTGGCTGGTGGAGAAATTCAAGCATCTAGCAGGCTAAGCTATTTATTGTCAGGGGCATAAAACTAAAGCCAAGCAGGGAGTAATATTGAACTACAATTCATCAGGTGCAATGGGAAGCCCTGTTGCAACCCATGCTACAGCAAATGTTTGCTCACCAGATTTTCCAAAAGAATATACTGTATACACAGTGTGCATATCAAAACTGTGTAGTCTTTTTTTCCTCCCGTTGTTAAAAAAAACACTTAACACAGCTTTAAAAATGATAAGTGATCATTTATAAGTGATGCAAAAAACTGCCTGTTTCAGAACAGGAACTCATGAATCAGTGTTGCTTAGATTTGGAAATATTTATGAGGCAACATCAAGTGAAACGCTGCACACAAAGTGGGTTCGATTTCACAGAGTCGCTGAGAGTCACTTAAGCAGCTTGAACAACAGCAAGCGATGGGCTGTCGGCCTACCTTGATTATGCACCAGCCCACATCCTCCTCCTTAAGAGCCTCGGTACCAGTTCAACGGTTAGTCAAGGTTTTGCAGCTGAAACCATAAAAACAGAAGATTATAACGATCAGATAAACAAGCCTTTTGTTGAAACATGCTCAATATATTGTAAATACAGTGCGCTCAAATATGGACAGCAGTATTGAAGTGATATAAAAACTTTCTCTGATCATGAAGCCTAATGTTACTGAACAATTCTGTGGTTTATTAATGAAGTGTCTGAACTACACTGCCGACTGGAGTCTCTGTTAACAGTGACAGACAGATCTGCATTATTTACGCTCATCTCCTATGAAATGTCCAGATCCTCGCACAGTGCATTGTTATAAACTATGATGAACCCGTCGTGGGTCACATCTCTCTGAAGAAAAAGAAGAAGAATGAAATCATTGTTGAAACTTAAGATACTGTACATGAATAATTTCTGCAGACTTAAAATCATTGTTTTATTTGACGGTCGTGCTGCCCTTTGTGCCCTTAAAATATTGACAACACTGGTGTTGCCCCTAAAATGATTAAATTCCAGGCCCAGTGTTGTCAGTAACAGATTGTACAATCCTAATTGAAGCAAAGTAATAGGAATTCTGAGTACAGTTTACAGAACAGTAAAGTATTTACATTTCTGAAGGTAGAAGGAATGCAGCAGTTGTATGAAGGTAAACGATACTAAGAACACGTAGGTGAAGAAAGCAGAGGAAGTCGCAGAGACAAAATCAAAACCTAAACTAGAGACAGCGTACGCCCCCCCATGCAATGCAAGCTGTAGGTGGGAGTTGTAGGACCAGGTGGGTGCAAACTGTCATGTGGCATTACTGTTCGTTTCCTGTGGAAAGATTGAGTTTCCTGTGTGCATTGTGCTTAAGAAATGAAATAAATTACACATTTTCACATGAACAGGTACAAAAATTTAAGCTGATGTTGCTGTGTGACTGGAGGGCAACTAAGGTTAATGGCAGTGTGGTGAAACTTTGTAAAACTTGTTTTTCTATGTGTAGTTCATCAGCTGTTTGCACCTAATAAAAACAATATGATGATTTCCATGTCAAAGGTTTTCTATATGCTAATATATTATCTAGAAGTAGAATCATTTTAAAGAGTACTGTTACAGCTTAGTGTTTAGTAACTCTTCTGAATATCTGATTATCTTAATTCCAGATATGGCCTTGAAGGTATTGCTCTGCTGTCTGGAGAGTAAAGAGATGGAAACCCGCTGCATGGGAGCTTCTGCACTTTGGGCGTTGCTCCATAACAATCAGAGGGTACACACAAACACACACATGCATCCAATCCTTAAAACTTTATTTTAGTGACCGTGCATTTACTGGCTAGTGATATATGTCGAATTTAATCCTGGGGTGTTTTTACTCTTGCTGGTCACATAAATAAATCGTCTCTCTGAAGAGATGACCAACCTTTTTTTTTTCCTTCTGATTATAAACTGAATATATTTAACTCTCTTGATTTCAGGCTCATCAATAAAACTCTTCCTAATCTGTCTTTCAAATTTCCCCTCAAAGGCAAAGACTACTTTGAAGTGTCCCTCTGTTCGATTGAGAATTGAGGAGGCACATACCATCTCAAAGAAGGGTATGCATTTATTCACTTTGATGAAGACATCAGTACCTGCATTTGCACTTTATCTGAATATAAGGTTTTACATGTCTTGTTTACATTTGTGCTTTTTTTCTCCCTTTAAACCTCAGATGCAGAGAACAATCAGCAGCCTATGAGTACCTACCTGTTCAAATGCCTCGAAAACCTCTCACAACTGCTAAATAACTGATTGTATTTATATTGTTTGTTTTGTATCATGTTGGATGTTATTTGAATATTAATTAATTTTGATATTAAAGTGCCAAGAGGTAGATTTTACCGTCTTGTACTGTCTGATATTACTCAAACAAATTTTGCCAGCTGATCATACTTTGTGGTCAATGTCATATTTCAGGAAGTACACCAGTTGTGTCTTCAAACACAGTCACTGTGGTTCATGGTGGTTAATTTGATGCCATTTCACACCATACCACCTTGGGGTAGTTTGATAACAGAACTTGCACACAAGCTTTCAACACTGACAAGAGTTCCCAGCCACACTAGTGGCTTTGTGAGGCTGAACTTCAAGGAAGAGTAAGCGATTCTGCAGAACGATTGTTGATATTTGAACTGAACTGCCAAAAAATACACCCCTCCCCTCCGATGGTCTTTCATATTAATTTTCTTCTATGTTTATACTCTTTTTTTTTTTTTTTTTTTTTCAGAGCGCACACAAAACAGGAAGCTAGCAAATCGTTGGTAAATATTGGCGTTTTAAGCACAGTGGTGCTTTTAACTAATTGCTAGCATCAGTATGCTAACATGCTCAATGAAAACGCTAGTATGTCAACGTTTAGTGAGTTAGTGTGCTTACATTTGCGTATTTGCACTAAACACAAACTATAGCTGAGGCTGATGGGGAATTTTTTGCATGTCATTATGGATAAAATGCTGCTCCGTATTTGTATAGTGCCTTTCTAATCTTTTCAACCCCTCAAAGCGCTTTTACACTACATCTGCATTCACCAGTCATACACATTCATTCACTGAGCCTAAGTGCTCAAACGGAAACTAACATTCACTCATATTCATACACTGGCGGAACAGCCGCCAGGGGAAATTCGGGGTTCAGTATCTTGCCCAAGAACACTTCGCGACACACAACCAGGGGGAGCCAGATTGAACCGCTGACCTTCCGATTAATGGCCAACCCGCTCTACATCCTGAGCCACAGCCGCCCCATTATTATGCTCCGTATATCTGGAATAAACTCCCAGATAACTGCAGGTCTGCTGAAACTGTCAGTTCTTTTAAATTAAGACTTAAAACTTTTCTTTTTACCATTGCTTTTAATTAAATATTTACACGGTGAGAAATGAGTTGGTAATTGAGTGAAAAGATAATGAGAGTGAGATTGAACAGAGTGAAGGAAGTGGTCTTAAATCTCGTGCCTGAGTGATTTGCAGGAACCTCTGTCCACCTGTAAACACGCAGGTGGGTCCAGAGTATAACTGGATCAAAGTGGCCTGCGGACCGACATGTCCTGGTTTCTCTGTAGTGTCCAAGGGTTTTGGGAGTTTCAGTGAACCCAAAGATTGCTATGGACCCAAGTACAGACTAGCTAGAGAGAGTAGAGTACTTCTCTGTTTATTCTCTTTTCAAAATAATTGTAACTCAATCCCTCAGCCTGTTTTTATTTTCCATTTAACTCTTTTAACCCTGATTGTACACTGCACTGTTAACTTTTACTGTCCTGTTTTAACCTGTTTATTATTATTATTACTATTTAATCCTGTTTTTATTTTAAATTTCACCAAAATAATATTTTAACTAAAACTTACACTCTGAACCTCAAAATAACTATACCAAAAAAACTTTGTCCATCCAATATCTGTCAAAGTCAGGAGGATTCATCCACTGGGGAACCATGAATGTCTATACAAAATTTGATGAAATAGTTGTCAAGATATTCAACAGTCTGGACAAAAATGGTGGACCAACCGATATTGCCTTATGTTTTGAACTTCCAAAAAACCCCAAAAGCCATGAATAAAGTGTGAAAATTGCTGCAAACAAGATGAAAAGCATTTACAGTATGTAGAATTTCAGGTAGGTGAGAGGAAACGTCAGCACAATTTTAAAAAACTTCGGTATGGATCCTATCATGCAGGATTATGCAATAAGCTTGCCTCCCATTCCCAGCCCTGGTGACAAAGTGGCCCTCTGTGTGGAATGAGCTAACAGTGGGCTACCATGAAGTGTGTCCCAGTAGCTCAAGTGTTTCTCTGCAGCCAGAGAGCTAGCAGGAAGTGCAGCTCGGGTGCTCTCCACTCCTCTCATCAATGCAGCTTTCATTCTCTCTCGGTGGGGCAAAATGGAAGCTGTACAAAAGGACCACTGGTACTTCGTGGTACTCATCTTTCTTCCTTTTCTCAAAGGTATGAAAATTATAAATATATTTAGTAGATTGTTTCTCATGAATGGCAGTTGACAGTGTTGAAAGTGACATTCACTTGTCTTTCTCTGATACTCTGAAACCTGAGTCTAATTTAGCTCAATATGTTTATATGTAGTTTCAGTTTATAATGTTTAATTCACAATCCGTAATTAAAACTAATATTTGCTTTCCTTTTTAGTATTTTATTCCAGCATTTCTTTTAAGTTAAAATGGCTGGGAAGATGGTAGGAGAGCTTGTTTTCGTATGTTTTGGAAGACATTATTATTCTAAATAGATCTCTCCCACGGGCATCACTGGACTTGAAATCAGTTGTCATTCAGCTCGGATAAAAGGCTTTGAAATCTTGGAAGCTTGATCACCAACTATTGTCAGTTGTGTTTATGTGTACTGGTTCAAATTAGCCTAATTACCATCACCCGAGGGATGGCCTCACAGCCGTGAATAGCTGTGGTAATCTTCAAGTTCTGGAAATTTATGGATGGGAGGGGGCCTTTTTTTTTTTTTTTTTGTATAGGTGTAAACAGCAATTCTTAGACATACATACTACATTTAAAATATTAACATATAATCCGTTATAATCCTACATACAAGTACAGTGCAAACTTATAGTGATCACGTCTTTCCGGGTCAAATTGATCGTTATAAGCTGATGATGACTATTATAATCTACTTTATTTCTTTTGCTTTATTTCTCATGCAGATTACCATATAATTGATGTTTGTAATGAAATGGACAGCTTCTCTATTTACTGATTGCCTGTTTCAAAATACAGTTTTAAATGTTTTTTTTTTTTAATAACAGTACAAATTTAATGACTGTACAGTGTATAATTCAAATACACTATACAGTAATACAGTACTGTAGTTCAAATTATAATTTGGTACATTTGTGCTGTTTACAAATACAGTAACATCAGTAGTGGAAAATAAGCCACTAAGCGCAGCATGGTTTACATTTTTAACAGGCCTGAAAATAATATGTCGGCTATCAATGCCAGTACTTGATTAACCTTCTATAAGTAAATGAGTTAAACAAGATTCTGTCCCAAGCTATTTGATCTATGTAAGCGGTGTCCACTGTAGTTATTCTTGTTTCCTTTACTGATTTATCATTTTGCAGTCATAGTTTCAAGATTCAGTCGTGTTGAATAAACAGAAAAATGCACTCTATCCAGTTGCTGTCCAGGAGAAAGAGGTGGTTCGTCTGGAGGAAGGGATGGTTCTCAGCTGTTTGTGCCCCTGGGAAGGCAACCTCAGCATGGTGTCCTGGACCAAAACACCAGACAAAGATCCGGTAGCCGTTTTCCACCCAGAGTTTGGTGTGGCCTTTCATCAGCAATACCGCGAGAGGATAGAGTTCCTGAGGACCACGCATATGGATGGAAGTATTTCCATGAGGAACGTCACTCACCAGGATATTGGGCTATACCACTGCTCTGTTCAGACCTTCCCACAGGGCCCCTGGACAAGGAACGTTCAGGTGGAAGATTTAGGTAAAAGACAGAGCAGAAAATACTGAGGTATCTACATAGATGTCTTTCTTTCTTGACAAGCTGTTTCCTGTGTTTACAGATGAACCCCCAGAAGAAGGCGATGATACCACAGAGCCCCCCACCCCAGAGGTCCTCAAGACGGACACAGAGTTGGTGGAGGAGCAGAACAACAACCTGAACATCAGCTGTAACCGCAAGCACAACGGCACCGTTTACCAGGTCATTTTGGAGAAGATGCCTCACAGCCAGCCCTGGGTCATTATTGGAGTGTGTAAGAAGGTGGAAGGAGGCCTTGTGAACGAAGACTACAGCGACAGGGGCTGGGTCAGCTGCACAGACAGCCTGGATGTCAGCCTGCACCTGACAGGTGTGGTGCTGGAAGATGGTGGTTTCTACCGCTGTACTTTTAGCACAGATGAAGGGGTGCAGACCACCACCGTGAAGCTCACTGTTACTCCTCCAGGTACAAAGACAGGCATCGTGCTGTAGTTAACATACACACATATATAGCCCTATGACTGGATGATAAATTGTTTCTCATTCTTAAGATGATGCATGGATGTCTCACAGAGTAGTGATTGATGACACTTAATGAATACGATATAACAATGCTTGTGATGTTAATCTCAAAGACTCACACATGCTGAAACCACAACATCCTGTGGGTGTGTGTGTGTGTGTGTGTGTGTGTGTGTGTCTCCACACACTGTGAGGTTTAATGTGATGTTCTGTCTGTGAGTCACGAGAAAACAATAAGTCAGTATAACATTTGTCAGCTGCCACAAACCGTTCTGTTGAATAGAAAGACATTGCTTTCAGGCTGTTTGGTTCTTTTTTTCCTATTATTTTCTCTACTTTTATAAGCAGGTGGATTCAGCCTGTCCATGTACATGATGTACATTTACATCGGGGCTGGAGCTGCTGGGCTTGTTCTACTCATTGTCATCATCATACTTGCAGTGAGGCATAGGTAAGATCCCACACAGTGTTTTCATATATCTTTAGTAAACAAAACTCTAAAACAAATCTTGATTGTAAAATATACACTCAGTGGCCACTTTATTAGGTACACCTGTTCAATTGTTTGTTAACACATATCACATGGCAGCAACTCAATGCATTTAAGCATGTAGACGTGGTCAAGACACCTTGCTGAAGTTCAAACAGAGAATCAGAATGCGGAAGAAAGGGGATGACTGTGAATGTGGCATAGTTGTTGGTGCCAGACGGGCTGGTCTGAGTATTTCAGAAACTGCTGATCTACTTGGATTTTCACGCACAACCATCTTTAGGGTTTACAGAGAATGGGCCGAAGAAGAGAAAATATCCAGTGAGCGGCAGTTGTGTGGACGAAAATTGTTACCGACCATGTCCATCCCTTTATGACCACAGTGTGCCCATCTTCTGATGGCTAATTCCAACAGGATAATGCACCATGTCACAAAGCTCAAATCATCTCATACTGTTTTTTTGAACATGCCAGTGAGTTCACTGCTCTCCAATGGCCTCCACAGTCACCAGATCTCAGTCCAATAGAGCACCTTCGGTATGTGGTGGAATGGGACTTTCGCATCATGGATGTGCAGCCGACAAATCTGCAGCAACTGTGTGATGCTATCATGTCAATATGGACTAAAGTCTCTCAGGAACGTTTCCAACACCTTGTTGAAAGTGTACCACAAAGAATTAAGGCAGTTCTGAAGGCAAAATGGGGTCCAACCCGGTACTAGCAAGGTGTACTTAAAAAAGCGGCCACTGAGTGTATGTGTCTGCATGCTAACATGTTTTGGGTTTTGAACGCCAGGTTACTTCTTGTGTGTGTGCTTTCAGAAGACATTCACACAAAAGAAATTACCAGAACCGTGTAAAAGAAATCCCAGATTCTTGTCCTTTTGTTGTAGCTCCAGTGTTATTTGTTTACCTTTGTCCAATAATCCCCACAGGAAGAATAACAGGAGAGAGGAGTACAGAGTCAAACTGCACCCATCTCACAGACAGGTGAGCCTCTCATTATTCGTCATTTCTACTCTTGTCTTTACGCTTGACACTTTCAGGGCACTCCCTTACCTTCTCTTCAGACATGCTCTTAATTACAAACCAGTTACACTTTACATTTAACCTTGTTTGATACAGCACATCCTGTCATCATGTACCCTGATACATTGTGTACCCTGATGTAGGGCTGGGCAATAAAACAATAATGCAAATTGCGATATAATTTTCCTCTAAAACAAATGTTCAATAAATGATTCATTTGAATTACGAACAAAGAGGCACAATTTTTTTCTGTTAAAATATTTATTTTGTCTAGGAAAATGGACCTAAAAATATTTTATCATAACTGTTTTGAATTGATATAATTTTTGGTTCTACCTCAGATTTGTGAAATGATCAACTGTTTGGCAAGTGTTTAAAACCACAATTAATCATCTGGTTTTCTTCAACTTTCCCTCAGGAGCAAAAATCTGAAAGATTATTTAAAAGAAATAATAATTCGACATTTATCATGATGTATATTATCGATATGGAATGATGTGACATTTTTTATCGTGATAACATTTTTGGTCATATCGCCCAGTCCTACCCTGATGCTTAACTTATGCTGCTTTACCGTAACTGACAGCGTAATGGCTTGGCTTTTGGATAATTTATAAGAACAACTTGTCAAAATGCGGAATTGGTTGAAAATGGAATATTTTTTATTTGTTATTAAATCAAAACTGTAACAGTGACTAGTGATTACTTCTTTAAAGTCAAGTTATATTCCTTTTTCCTTACAGGCCATTCTGTTAAAAAAAAATGAAAAATGATTAGATAAATTATTTTAGGAATATATCAATTCTACTATATATTACTTTATTTGATGTACAACAGCTGTGTAATGTAATTTGATATCATCATAAAAAAAAGAATATTTCAGATTGGTCCCATTTAGAGGGACATTTTTATTACTTTTTTGCCAAGCTACTGCTTCAGCCATTACATTATCAGCTGTCACATGTCCTTGTCTAACACCTCACATACTAATCAAACCTACCCCACATATATTCACAGCCAAACTTCTATGAGAACATCTCTGTGTGTCCCAGGCAGAAGAAATGCAGGCAGATAAGAAACTGCCCGGTGTATGCCAACCTGCAGACTGTACGATCACACAAAACCCAACGTCGGCTTCATGATAAATGAGCATACATAAATATGATGTACTGCATAATGTGAACGTGTATTGTACCTGTCAGTGTGCCCTCAGCCTTTCACAAACAAAGCAGATTCATGTACATAGGAGATAAAAGAAAAACATATATTGACTAGCACTCATTATTTATTAGAGTTTTTTTTATATTAATATTCATACTGTGGTTTGAAATGAGGTGACAAGCTGGTGCTCATGTACGTCTCAGGAAGCTGACAGGTTTGTTACGAGTCGAGCCCTGCTCCCTCTAATTAAATGTACCATGTATTTCATAATTACTGCTGAGGAAATATTTGTTTTGGGCAAAACAATATTTGACAGTAACCGTCATGCAAGAAGAGCAGACAAAGGCCTGTATAATCATTCTTTACACTCCCTTAACCCCCGAGTAAAGCAATTGACAAAAGCCTGCGTAATTGCTCTCCTTTTACTTTCATCCCTCCTGGTTTCCATTCAAAGCTTGACAATGGTGTCTAATCATCTAACTGAAAAGAAAAGCAGTCACTCAGCACTGTACCGTCACTTGAGACCGCTGTTTTCCCCAAAGGGCTCTCTGTCTAGGATGGCTGCATTCTACTTACAGCACGCTCTTATTATGAAAGCTAAACTCTAATTAGCTAATCCTGTGCTTTAGTTTTTAACTCCTTATACTTTGTCTATCTACTGTTTATTTTTGGAGGTCTTTTTTTTTTTACTTTACTAATTTTTCATGCTGTGTGTATTCTGTATTTTATTTCTAAGTTTGCCTATATGCTTTTGTAAATTAATGGTAGCGCAATTACTGTAAGATGTGGATTGTTGGTGTGTAATCTCAATTAATTTATCTCCATAGAAATGGAGGCAGAGGCAGTAATGGATATGCAGGCTATCCTGCTACAAGACAAATGCGGACAAGCTAGAAATGTGGAACATAAAGGGACAATATAGTTTGGATTCACATGTTTTTGCCTTCATTCTCTCATCTTGCTGTTCCAAACAGTAGAAGCTGCAACTTTACATTGGACTGCGATACTTGTGAAAATGTGTGGGTGACCAGCAATACTGAAACTGATGTGTGTGACTATAAATGATTCCATGTGGTAAAAAATAAAACATGCATAACCACTACCTCATTGATCTCCTGTGATGACATGGAACTGAAAGACTTGCTGAACTGATGACTAAACTATTTCTAGGAAACCAAAGGACTGTCACGAAATGGGTATCTTTGAGTTCAGCCCGTCCTCACCAGAAAAACAGCCAGTAGATTATTATATTGTTTATTACGACCAAAGATGTTACATATTTACATTTTCCATTAGGCCACGAGCTCCAGAAGTCAGGTGACGAAGTATAAAGAGTAACAACTTCTGTGTAAGAAGGACAGAGGGGTGTATAGATGTGAGAAGTAATCTGAGGAATTTCACTCAAAAGATAGAGGTTTGAGTCCCTTGAAAGATGATATGTTTTAAAGGGGCCCTCATTTCAGCCTCTCTCTGAAACAAGCTGTAGATAGTCCTGTCTCTTTAAAAGAGAGTAAAAAAATGTTGAAACCAGAACGTTCAGAACAGTGGGAATTCTGACGTTTTGGCTGACAGGGATTTCTTTTAAATACGTTTACCTCATTATTTGAAGCTTTGGCCATGTTTAACATGACCATCTAACACTGTAACATAGATATGAAAGACAGAAAAGCAGAATGGGTCCCCTTTAAATTAATGTTTTGTAGAGTACTTATGTCACATGACCTATATTTTATAACCAACCGAGTGGTTTTGTTGCCTAAACTTTTGACCACTTTTACGACAACTAGGAATTTTTAACTGGAACGCCCCCTTACGTTGGATTTCCAACTCAAAAGTCGGGAGAACCACTCTACCCCCAACTAAGTGATCCAAAATGGCTGCTCCGTGTATCAAGTTAGTGAAAGCTGCAGTTTATACTGTTTCTTAGCACTTCTGTGTATTTGTGTCTCATATCAATTTTTGTACACAAAGTACTGTCCAACTGCTGTCTATGTACATGTTGCTTCTGTGTTTAGTGTGCACAAATACGGCGTAACCCGTTTTTATCAGCCAGCGTTGGTAACAATAGCTAACCTGGCGAGTTGGAAACAATGGCTGGCCGCACGAGGTTTTCCGACATGATGTCATTTCCAGCTCCGACTTCCGAGTTAAATGGAACGCAGCATTAACTATGACCTTTTTTATGTCTTTATGTTGCTTTGGGACACTTGAAAATCTATCTATTTTGTCATTTAGGTATGAGCACATAATGTCGAGTTAGTGCTTGAAATCTTAAAGGAAATGTTTAGGGAAACTTTATTGCAGCATTACACGCAAAGATTGATACCACTCACATGTCTGTGCAGTAAATTTGAAGCTGCCTCGTCTCAGATTCCCACCTCAGACTCAGTTTCCCTGTCTAGGACTCTTTACTTTACTAGATCTTTACTTACCTTTCAAAAGAGTAAGGCTAGCTGTTTTGCCCCAATATTAGACTTTGTGCTAAAGTTAAGCTAGGCTGCTGGCCTGGCTCCTGCTTAACTCTTGGCAGGATAATGAATAAGCATTGTGTGACTTACCTTGAATTCTACATTCCTGTTGGCATAAAAAATATGCTGATATGATAGAACATTCAGTTTATTACCTTATCTTATTACCTTGTCATCAAAAACATTACATATGTACATTTTGTGAAAACTGTAGTCCTACGCTCAATGTAATCAAAGTGCTATTAACATATAATCTGATGGTAACAGAACCCAAAACATGGTGGACACAAACAATCCTTTAGTTACTATAGCAGAAATCATGATGATTTCATACATACAATAACAACAAAAATTGCGAATGGTAAACACATTTCATCTAGAACTTTCTCCAGTCTTCTCAGTTAGTATGGCTCTAATGGTCCAGATGTAGGGTAACTAGTATACACACATTTGTTAACCACACTCAACACATCTATGTGGCCGGATATGTCACTGTGGGCTTTGAGATGCAGAAAAATGTTTAGATGGGCACTTTGAGGCTCAAATTAATGAGGAAGTTGAGCTCTTTTAAATACAAGATAAAGTGACTGACTGCAAAACTTAACTTCAACACAAAATTAGTGCTTGTACTCCTGTTCTACGGGAATCTATTTCTAAACATTAACAATAAAAAACACATTAAAAGAAGTGATTAAGTTTGAATGAATGCTTTGCTGCCTCAAAATGATTGTCATTGGATTCCTTTTTTATTTCAGAGTTGTTGCTGGGTCCTTCTTTGACATACCAACAACCACTTTTACCACAACCATTTCAAGAGATGAAGTGTGATTGTCAACTTTCTAAAAGCGCTCTGGTTGGGTTTCAGGTGGGACATGTCATTCCACAGCCGGGTCTACAGTATTTAAGAGAAACTTAAGACTTTTCAAAATGTTTTGACAATACAGAGCTAAATTCTGTCCACAATGGTAAACTCAAAGCCCAAAGCAGTTAGGTCTCACAATCTGCGGTCTGTGTCGGAAGGCACTTCTTACTCAAGGAGGACAATCCAGAGAACATTACTTCACTGTGGACTTATACTCAGTGACACATTTCACTCACATGCTACAGAAAGGATTCACTGAAAATATTTTATAGGTCTTTTGCTGATTTTGGCTATTTTAGTAACAATGACCACTAGTATAATTTCTTTCTAGTTCATACTGTTGCTAATGACTGGAAAACAAGATGGTATAAGGTATCTGACACTCTTAAAAATAAGGTAGCCTACTGGGACAGAAATGATGTGTGACATTGTGAATGATGAGCCATTTCATTAGTTTTTAAAGGATCAATAGTTTGACATTTTGGGAAATGTGCTTTTTTGTATTCTTGACAAGAGTAAGATGAGAAGATCAACACCACTCTCATTTCTATATGTTTAATATGAAGTTAACAGCTGGTGAGCATAATTAGCTTGGCACATAGACTGGAAAATGGAGAAAAACCTAGCCCAGCTATGGTAACTGAATTTGCCTACCAGCACCTCTAATGCTCACTAATTAACACAATATAGCTTATTTGTTTATTCCGTATGAAACCCAAAGTATAAAAACAGCAAGCCGTGGTTTTACAGGTCCAGGTAGTCAGATTGTGTTACCTAGCTGTTTCCAGGCTTTGTGCAAAGCTAAGCTATCTGCTGGCTGTAGTCATAGTTATTGTACAGACATGAGAGCGGTATATAACTCTCTGCAAGAAAGCAAATAAGTGCATTTCCCCAAAAAAATGCTCAACAATTAATTTTTTTGTATTTTACTGAGCACAGATTTTCTCAGTAAAATATATAGTGATGCAATTTTTAATCTTCAAACTTTTATCTTGTATGAACATAACATACGAGCAGGGCCAAAATTACTATGATGTTTTTTTTTTTTTGCCACAACCCACATCTGAGTCCCGTGATGCCATGATTTACTTCTGCCTTGCATAACTCGCCCACAGGTCACCAACATCTCTCCTTTGCTAATGAACCCGTTATCATATACGGTATGCGAGGCTGGAGAAGAGCTAGGAAGCTATTAAAACCCAAATTGCTCTGCTAGTGTAATGTAGGGTTGGCAGTTTAAAGCAGAGGCTTGTGAGAAGGTTGCATTCCATCATTTCTGACACGACCGTCCACTCCCATATCCTTGAAGCACATTTCTGAACGACTTTTTCACTTTGCTGGTTGTAACCGATTAAGGTCTTTAGCTGATTCATCACTGCCATCAAAGTCGAGCTGTTTCTGTGTAAGGCATTGATCAATTTCACATTCTTGAGAGGGAGCAAAGTACAGTATGTATGGGAGAAAATGTGTCAAAAATGGTGGAGATTCGATTGAAATGGTTGCTGAGGCGGCACATTGTTGGAGTCTGGTGTGATTTCTTACATTTTTGGAACAAAAGCCTTTTTGGACATTGTTTTACAGTGGACCTTTGTATGTTAGTATCACTAACTTCTTGTAAAGTATAGTACACTGATTTATAAAAGAGGGTCCGGCTACCTTTAACAGCGTAATGACAACACAAAACACTTTCAAACTACACTAACAGGATTTTTGGTGCAATCTTTGAAGCTAATGCTGCTGTCACACAACATACAAAAAGAACAAAGGACATCTTCCTTTTCAGGACCCTTTTCATGTACCGCTTGCTCTACAGTTTACACTACTCTTTCAGTATCACTGGGAAATGATATATTACACATGTCACTATACATATTTCTACATCCTTTCTACAGTAGTGGGTAAAGAGTCCAGTTTTGATGGAGCAATTCTCTGTCATTGAAGGGGTTTCAGGCTGCAACTGGATTCACAGCCACTAGAGGGTGATGGCGCCTCTTCCTGGTGCTGGCTCTCCTCCTGTTCTGGCTCATCAGACAGAAAGCTGGGGAACGTCTGTGCTCGAGGGATGAAAGTCATTGTCAGGCCACTTCCTGTAGGGGGGGGGGAGATCAGAGAAAGAGTCGATGGAGCCCTTTTTTTTCAGTTTCATTTAAATGGACCTCACAATACATCCTTTCTTAGACAATAAGTTTATGGTACAACTGTTGCTTAGCTACTGCCCATGCTGATATATAATATTTAAATACATATGAAGATTACAAGAATAATCCTTCCTTTCTTCATTTAGGTAAAATTATCTCTCAAAGCCCTCTGATGTTCTAGGGCAAAAATATAAACCCTAAGTTGTAGAATATTTACAATTGTGAGAATAAAAATCAACCTTTCGCCTCAAACAAACAGCTTAATTTCAGAGTGATCCACGCTGTCTCGTCTTTTTTTGGCCTGTCTGCCGTCTCTCTTTTCCCCCCGCGCTCTCCATCTCCACCTTAATTTAAATTAATTGAACCAATTTGTTCTGCAGTTCATATTGGTTATCTACATGGAGAGGGTGTAATGGATACTTGTGGGTGGAGGGCTGTTCTGTGTGCCTGTGAGAGACCATTAATAATATATTAGGATGCTGTTTGGAGATGTGCATGGCGAGGTAGGCTGAGAATAAAGTGGTTGGCAGGCTGCTGATCATGCAGTGAACAAGGAGGAAGTGGCCGCTGATTAATATTTCAGCAGGTGCAACACTGTAATCAGCTATCAGGTCTTACCTATAGCATATATGGT